TTTTATATCCATACAACTGTAAGGACAAAACATGCATATTAGTAACATTTTATTACTATATTAATTAAATACTAGTTCAATTAATACTTGTCTTATAATACACTTAGCAAATCTTAAAAAAAATCACCCCTTTTAGGAACACAATTTAGACTAAACTTATATACTATGATATGCCTTATTTCAAAAACTCCAAACTCTACTAATTTTTTTGACCATTTAAATTAACACGTGTAATGGGAAAGAATGTAATTTAATAACATCTCGTGATCTGAATATCAGCCAGAGCACTTTGATTTTCACACGTGCAAAATAATTACTAAAATAATTACTAAATTATGTTAATTAATTCATTTTTTGAGACAGAAATATGCAATTGCTTAGCCTCAATGCTCGCTGACTTCTGATAACATTTACGCCTGTCATCTGGCAGCATGATTAAAACCAGGTTATATGGTTCCAGTTTAGTGAATAAATTTCAAGAAGTATTCTAAATTAACTGGTTTATATTGTGTTTTGGTTTTCCTATAATGTTATTATAATAAGTGATTCTATATGTTCATTATCAGATTATATTTGCAAATGATGACATATTCAAATATTCAGAATATGAAATAATGAATTCAATAAGCAAATATCCGTTATATTTCTTTATAGGCCTTCTTTGAAAAACATGAAAAAAGAGGCTTTGTAAACGCGTTAAATCTTTTGTGTATTAAATCCGTTTATGATCAATGTATCTCAAATACGAGTTATCATCATATGTCACAGGATGAGACAAATTTCAAACGCGAGACCCTCGGAAAATCTTTCCGCGACGCTACCGACTAAGCTATCCTGCTGCTTACACATCGTGAACAATTCTGAAACGTGATATATTCCCCTGCTATATTGAAATTCGTCCTCGAATTTCTCAGGTTACAGAGCAATGTGAATTAAACTCTAAGCTATATTCAGTCATGGTCCCCCGTAGAACAAAAAAAATATAGAAGCTGTTATAAACAAGAGCCCGGTTTGAGCCGGGTGATGCTCCCCGAATAGGTTTTGGACACAGGAAAGTACACCTCTTGTAGTTTTAGAGTTATGTCCCTGGAAAAAGTTCAAAGTGTAATAATTCCAAAATTAGGCAAGGCAGAGTTACTGATCTTTGCACTGCACTTCTAATCAATGTGATCTATCAACCTACAAAGTTTCTTGTTGATATCTCTTATGGTTTCCGAGTTATGTCCCGGACAAGATTTTTCTATAAGGGGAGATAATTCAAAAACCGGGCAAAAAAGAGTTATGGATCTTTGACACTGCAATCCCCCTCAATGCCTTCTACCACTGTATGAAGTTTAAACAAATTATCTCCAAGGGTTTTCAAGTTATGCTCCGGGCAAGACAAAGTAAAAAAAAAACAAAGTGCAATAACTCCAGAATTAGGCAAGGCAGAGTTATGATTCTTGTGCACTGCACATTTACCCATTGAGATATATCTACCTACAAAAATTTTCATGTTGATATACCTTATATAGTTTTACAGCTATGTCCTGGACAAGATTTTTCTGAAAGGGGAGATAAATTCATAAAAGAGGCTTAACAGAGTTATGGTTCTTTTGCACTACACATCTACTCAATGAGATCTATCTACCTACAATGTTTCATCTTGATATCTCTTATAGTTTTAGAGTTATGTTCCGGACAAAGTTCAAAGTGTTAAAATTAACAAAGGGCAATAACTCCAAAATTAGGACAAAAATAGTTATTTTTCTTATGCACTGCACATCTACCCATTGAGATCTATTCACCTACAAAGTTTCATGTTGATATCTCTTATAGTTTTAGAGTTATGTCCCAGACAAGATTTATTTTAAGGGGAGATTATTCAAAAACCGGGCAAAAAAGAGTTATGGTTCTTTGACACTGCACTCCCCCTCAATGCCTTCTACCACTGTACTAAGTTTAAACAAATTATCTCCAAGGGTTTTCAAGTTATGCTCCGGACAAGACAACGGACGGACAGACGGACAGACAGACAGACAGACGGACGGACGGACAGACGGACAAGGCGCCGACTATATGCTCCCCCGAAATTTTTCGGGGAGCATAAAAACTGGTATGTTTTTATAATGAGATAAAAGTACTAGCTAATATTTCTTTCCATTCAATTTGTTTATTACCTTTTTTTCATTCCACCAGATAATGTAAGGAACATGCGTTCCAAAATGGACAATCAGAGTAACTGTGATTTACTATAATAGGCTGTTTTATATAATATACAATACATTTCGGTTGTTGCTTCTACAATTTGTGATGTTCAATTACCGTATATAGTTTTCTTAGACTTTCAGTCGCATCTTTATCTGAAATATCCTGCCAAGACGCAGGGATATTTGAAATTTCAATATCAGTGTCTTTTGTAATGTCCTTTGCAAATCTACTTAAATACAGCATCCAAAACTTACAAACTGCGTTGATATCTGTATTTGGTTCTATGTCCCAACTTTTTATGAATTTTTTATAATCACGATATCTGTGTTTTTCCAGCGGGCAACTCGTTTTTTTAGTGTCCGATTTACAAGCATAGTCGAACACACTGCAAGTATGAGTTAAATCTGATGAAGAAACTGCAAAGTTGCATGTAGTAATACTAAGTTGTTTTGAAACTAATAAATGAATCCTTTTACATCCTTTTGGTTTATGCTGTATACAAAAGTGAGGCATTTTCTCGGCATCGTGAATATCTCTAGCACATGGTTCACCGCAAAATGGACATTCATCTGGACACCCCCAAGTTTCCTTTATTACTTCTGTTATGGGATCTAGTCTTTCTGATATATTCCAAGTAACAGTTGTACTATCAACCTTTTCAAACTCCTCTTTAAGTTTGTGTTCAGATTCATCTAAATTTCTAATTATTAGCTCCTTTTCAATTTTCTGTCGCAGAATGTTCTTTAAAAGATTGAACTGTGAATTAGATAATGTACATTTTTGTAAATTCGATGACAATGTGTCAATCCAGTCATCAGAAGGAGAACTGATCTCCACAGTTTCACAATCAGATGTAGATCTTTTAGAAAATATTTCAGCAGTTTTAACAACTGATCCTTTGACGTCTTCAAAGTATTCCTTTATGTAGCTACAAGCCATAGAGTAGTACTTTCTTGAAGGCTGACAAAATAGAAACGTGTTTGATCGTGTTGTGATCCACTGTGCAGCAAACAATTTTGGGTTATGATTATATTCAGAGAATGATTTATAATCATTCATGCTTAATAAATCAGTTAGTAAGTTTGTAATAAAATGATATTTCATTGAACCGATATGCGAACATAATGCAACTTTGACTTCCCTCGACAGAACCTTTATAACAGAATCTCGAACAGAGGATTTGACTGAGTAACTGAACTCAGATGCAGCAGTTTCGTCAGCCTTACGATCATGAACGAATGACATGAAAATATTTTTCATTTTTTGTTTGTACTGTTTGCGGCGGGCTTCTGGACCAAAATTCATTTCATAATTTGTATTGTGCATTTCAAAAATATTGCCGGCACATTCAGCAATCTGTATAAATATTTTCATTTTGAGAGAAATGGTAAATGAAAAATCCTCAGCGTGTTGCTTTTCGAAACTAGCATAATATTCTTCTACTTCCTCAAAGAAACGTGTTACACCAGATCCAGTAATTTTATTCTTGTTTTTTCGTTGCTGCGTAAGGATATCATCAATTCTGTCGAAAAGAATGTCGATGCTTTCTTTTATGCTTTCTTTTTTGTCTTTCGTCAAAATATGGTTTTTTCTTTTTACATCTGATGTATCTAAGCATAAATTTTCAAAAGAGTCCTGTAACGTAATCGTTACAGTATTCTCACCTCGTTTATCTAAGAATTTCTTTAAAAGAGGCTTATCTTGGTCAAAGAGTTTGTTTAAGCAATTATATATAATTTTTTTGATATCAATTAATTTAGATTCACCACTGCTACGCGTAAGTGATTGAGAAGCAATATTTGTCCAAATCGTTTCAAACTTTTTGTCTATTATTTCAGGTGTAAAATTTCCCTTTAATTGTTTGGCCAAATTCCATGATTTTTTAATGAGTTTATCTTCATGTGTTTTGTCCATTGTTGTTAAAATTTCAACAGCTCTATTATCATAAAGTGCAGAAAGTTCGAGGCTTATATTGTATTTAAGGTCTAGGCATGTAGAGGCAATGCGAGTCATTGTCATACCTTTCCAATGCACTTGTTCTTCAGAATAACTACTTTGTCTTAAAAAGTCATCCATTTCTACCTTCCAATTCTCCTCTTCATTGTCTATTGTTTTGTTAGTAAACGTTTTAGCATTGTCAAAATCAAAGTCTAATTGCTTTTTATCAACTGACCTTGAAAAAGATTTTTGTGCAGACACACAGCATTTATCATAAATTTGCCTTTCAATTATAGAGTGTTTCTGTTTAAAATATTCGTTTAAATGAATGTAAGCTTTGATTTCTATATTATTTCGAAATGAGAAGACAAAATCTTCGCTAAGAACACCTGTCCATAGATCTTTCATATGGATTACCAAATCACTTAACGATTTGTACGACTTATTTGTCATTTCACAAGCCCCATGTAGCACCTCGCTCTTCACAAAGTTTACATGCTGACTGTATTCACAATTTACAAATGTCATAGGGCTGTTACCCTGCCAAAGTGTTGGCATATAGAATACTTGTGAATCCATATTAAATTCCATAATTTCATTAAACTCACTGATGTTAGGAACATTTTCCAATTGAGCGGCGTCTTTGGTTGCATTATTCAGTTTCTGCACTAGTTTTCGTAACCCAGGCCTAGTGTTTCGTGCAGATAATATTCCACTTACATTTTGGTGTACAAAATAACATGACTTTCGAATATCCAAGGACTTATTTGCCTTTTTCAATCTTATAAAAGCATGAACAGTAACATTGAGAATGTCGTTGATTTCACAAATATTTTCCCCCATTACATTAAGAAGAGTAACATCACCAAGTCCAGTAATGAATGTTGATAATTCGTTGTCATGAGCCATCTTACAATCATAAAGTTCTGTAGCTCTCAACCCTTCAGTATCGACAACTAATACATATCTAAAATTACATTTTGTAATTCTTTGGGACATAGGAATTAGTTTCAAATTCAGGCCTTTCGTACATCGCCCAGATGAAGCAGCAAAATGCGATCCAAACATTGTATTCAGCAAGGTTGATTTTCCAGAACTCTGAAGTCCTAGAACTGAAAGTGTCAAAAAACTTTTATTATCAATTTTAAATGAAAGGGACTGCAAAATTTCTTCTACCCAATGAGTTGGCAAAAAGAAATTGTCACCATCTACAAGTTCAAATGTATATCCAATATATATCAAGTTAGCTAAAGTAGTTTTCATTTTGTCTACAGGGGGGAGGCTAGTCTCTCTTTTTAAGATCAAACACACATTGTAGATATGATTTATTTCGCGGAGAAGATGCTCAATACTAAAGGAAGATTTTTCTATGTTATCTTCTGTTTCTTTCAGTAAAGAGTCGACTTCTTGTTTAACATTTATAACCAATAAGTCACTTGATTTTAATCTATCAATGTCTAAATTGCATTGTGTTTGTAATTCGCGGACTGTTGACATCTTTTTATTTGCCAGCATGATATTTAACCACCCAAGAAAAAACTGGAGGGAAAGCTCACATGTATGAGTCTCGCAAAGATAAGATGCAAACTTTTGTACTGTGGATGTCACATTATCCAGGCAGCTATGTCTCAATGAAAGTAGTTTTTCATCAATATCCTTAATTTCAGTTTCATATTGTAAACGTTGCTGCTGCTTTATCAACGGTGCGATACGATTGGAAATAGTTGTTTGAACTGGGGTAATAATTGTCTTCCATTTCAATGAGTTCCCTGCTTTCATCATTTCTTCAATTATATTCCTTGCACGTTTTTTCCCGTTTTTGCAAGAATCGCTGTCTTCATCCAAATCAATGTTTTGAGACAAAGATTTAATGCGATCATTTAATGACAATAAGTGAATTTTAATGAGAAGACTTTGCAATTTCTGCTGTAAGAGTCCTGTCATTTCAATAGGATTTAGTTTTCTTTCACATTGGTAAGTTGAAATTATTTCACAGATCTTTCTTTGCGATTGCATTTTTGAGCGGAATGTGTTCACAATCGATTCGTTTTTTCTTATCATAGGATTATCAATGATAATTATCATCGATGAAAATTTTGACACATAGTCATCTGTACACCACTTAGATGTTCCATGTAAAGATTCGATATCTAACAGTACAACCATGATGTCTGTCAATTTAGACACAAAATCTAATACTTCTTTCTGAAAGTGGTGTAAACTGCCTCTACAATTTAAAAATGTGACAGGATTATTAAACCTATCCATTGAATTACCGTCTATTGGAAGCCAAAATATTTCAACGAGCCCTTCACTATATTTATGGCTGGTCATTTGTCGGGCGCAGTTTTTATCAAAGAATGTCTTGCAATTATTATCTGATAACAGCCAGTTTAGCATTTCCGATTTAGAATTATCTGTTTTTCCGATGCGCGCAAATGTTATAAGATTTGTTGGGTGCTCGTAAACGCCCTCTTCAACGCTTAAATTTCTTTTTCCTTCATTAGTGACATACCTGTTCTGGATAAAAAGACATCTTAAAGGCCAAATTGAGACAACTGATCTACTACTCAGTGATGAGAAATCATGAAGTACATGTATAAAAGGGACTGCGATTTTACAAGAATAACACTTTTGAAACAAAAGTTGCTTTAACATAGGATCACAACATTTGTAAACCGTAATGAAAAGATCAAGTGGATTTATCTCAGTATCATCATAACTTTCGGTAAATAACCAATCGCTTGTAAATTGCCCTTGACTTCCTGATCTTTCATAAATTAATGATGCTACCCGATCCCTTGCTTTGCAGTAAACCCCAAGTAGACTTCTTAAAAGTATCCACGGAAGTTCGGTCAGTTCTATTTTTGTCTGGTCTCGATCAAACATTGATCCATTTTCAATATCGATTGTCATAACACAGGAAATGTTTATCTTGTCAGGGTAGTAATCCACGAGTCCTAGGGTTTTAATGAATTGTTCATATGGAAAAAGTCTATCTTCATCGTGGCCGGTGTCCTTATCTAAATGTGAATGCAAATTCAATTCAATTATTATGTTCTGGTACGTATTTAACACAAAAGACAAACAGTAAGGAACTTTTAAAATAATATTAAAACTAGACCTAGAAGTAATCGTACTTTTAACATTTGAAAAAATAAGATCACCACAGGACCACCGAAAAGGAGCCTAGCAAAACACCAAACAGGACAGGCGGACGGGGGAAATGGAAAACTATTAAAAAAGGAAACGGTAGAAACAAACTGGGTAACCAAAGATAAAAAGATGAAGAGACGTACAAAAGGACAACGGCGCAGTGGAACGGGCAGAATACTTACTTCTGAGGATCACAGAGGGGCGCCGCCTTTACATAATCAGCAGCATAAGGTCACTGCGGAGTACAAACATATTTAAATTAATTGCATTAAATCAATAAGTGAGGCGCATTGAATAAATAAATATTACCCCAGACTGAGTATATATGAGTTACAGTTCATTTTTGTGTTTCTGAACACAAGGCAAATTATGTCATATCATATCATGTCAAAAATAAATTGTAGAAAAACAAAATTCTTAAAGAAAGCCCAACACGGCAAAACTGAAAATGTTGCAGGCTCGGTTTGATTGAGCAATACGTGATAATGAAAATCGTGTAGGCTAAAATATATAAAAAAGCCATATTTAGACCTATCAACACATAAGTTCAATGCTAATTTCCATATTTGAGTTTCGTTCCAGACAAACTTTATGTCTGAAAATTTTAAAGGGCATTTAATCTAAAGTAAATTCCTGTACAATTACTATAATGACACATTTATCCTTTTTAGATATATCCGTCTGTGAATGTTCTTTTGAGTGATACTGTCTTAAGCAAATCAACGACATAAAGTACAATAGGAGTGCGACAAAAATGACCCCATTTTACATATCACCCCTATGTTTTGAGTTTCATTATAAAAGAAGGATTCACAAGAAAGGTTGTTTTCTCACCTTTATCGTCTACATCTGACTTTATACAATCTACATCCGCGAATTTGTCGTCATCATGAATTTTCTTTTCTGGACTGTGGAATACTGCAGTAAATGTAACCTCTTCAACACTCAATTCACCTTTAATAACGAGCTCATTTGCAACTAAAATTAAATGATAAGTGTTTATTACCCAAATTATAGAAAAAAAGCAGGACAATTATGACAAAACAGAGAAAATAATAATCCCTAAACAAAGTCAAAAACGACAACACTGAAAATGTTGCACGCTCGGTTTGATTGAGTATGTTCATTGACGGTACTGATAAGTGCAAACTACCTTCCAATACGTGTAAGATTTTAAATACCTCAAAATACATGATACAATGTATGCATTTATAAACAAACTATTAAACACTTTGGGAATAGGAATATCTCATTTGTACTATCAACATAAACACAGACCTTTTTCATCTTTGAATGTAACAAACATGGCACCAATTTCTTCTGATGAGAATGTAATGCATGACACTTCACCATATGATTTTTCCAAACATTCAGATGGTTTGTCTATCGACGTCCAAGTTATTTGTGGCCCTTTTAGCTTGAGGGTATACGGGGTATGGTATGGCTCTATATCAACGGTTTTCTTCTTTATGTTTATAGGCCTCTTCTTCAGTACCTTTTCAACAGCTGAGATTGATAGAAATATGTTCAAAATAGAAATGTAATAAAAATAATACAAATCTCTCTCCCCAAAGATCGACAGATACTGCAAAAATATAACAACAGACTATGCAAGGAAACACAAACAAACAAAATTCTGCAAGACAGAACCCCGGACACGGCACCTAGCGGTTTATATTCAACCGTAAAAATAGCCGTACCATTTGGTTATCACTTTTTAATCTTTGAGCTTGACCTTTATCCTTTTATGTTTCTTAAAAGCTAGTTATGTTTCACGCAATAAAAATCATTTTCTCATTATCACAAAAAGTAATGTTCAAAATTTATTTATCATTTGTTGACCTTATTACCGCCCTGTATATTAGGTAAAGTAAGAATTATAAATTCAAACAATGTACAATAGTAACGGGAATTTACGCAATTCTATGGCCGAAATGAGCACAAGGATAAGTTATTAAACAAATACATTTTGTATTACATCAAATTTTAAGCATATGGTTACTGAGACATTATATTTCAAATCTCAATATATTTTCGTGAAAATGTTTGCTTATCAAGATCATTCGTGAGAACAAGTATCTTCCTAGCGTACTAAACGAGCCTTTTGCATTTCGTCGATGTATATTTATTCAACAATGTACTTAGTATCTATTAACATTATTAATTTATGATATTCTATAAATATCAGACATTAACAAAGCTGCTTCACTGAAATTAGCAGACATAATAAATCTGAGGCAAATGATGCACAGAAATAATGCTGAACACTTCATAAAACACTAAAACTAAAACTATAATTTACATATATACTTCAATGTAAACAAATCTGGAAAAGGGATAATCCCTCGGAAGCAAGTAAAACAACACCATCACATGAAAATAGCAGACTTATTTTGATTCAGGGGTGGGGGGATAATGGTAATGATAAAAAACATGCTATTAATTTACCTTCTTCCTCTTCAAATTCAACTATCGCAATAGCTTTGTTAGGAAACATTGTAATTTGTTTAACACTGCCACCGCCTTGCCTCTTTTCATTTTCAAATAAATTTTCGAGGTCCTCTTCATCTACGTTTGTTGGTAGCCCGGAAACTTTGATCTTAGTTTTGTGTGCGGAACATGTGCATTTCTCTAAATGTAAATACAAATAATGGTTATAAATCAAAAAAGAAAGACCACTAGGCAATGTTGAACAATTTTGGCTCGTCCTGTTGTATTGAGTTTCGTCTCTTTCCGATGTGATATCTTCTATATATTCAAAGCCAGTAAAAGTTTAAAATATAATTTGTATTAGGAGATTCCGAGCAAGCTTATTAAGCCAAACTTTACAACTTTCAGTAGCATTTTGATATTGTTATTCACATTTTGATATTAATGGTATGAAAAACAATACTATCATAAAATTTATATTTTTTTGATATTTCATGCATATACTTTCAAGATAAAATTCAGGTAACTTATTACATGTGTACATGTATCGACCTTTTTATCATCTTTGCCAAGCCGCATTCTTTGAAGAACACATTGCAATTGGTAGGTGTATGACTCGCGTTTAATGATAGTTCAACTTTATTCACTGTAGAGTTCTAAGTTGTGTTCAAGGTTTTTCAAATAGAATGTTTTGTTTTTAAACGCAAGAAAGTGTACATGTAAACCAAGTGCTAAAGCTTAATCACAAATTCTTAAAAAATGTTCCTTGATTTTCGTTCCAATTATCCATCGTCAAGGTACAACTCACAAAAATGTATTTAGTCCAAATGCAATTAACTGCGCCAAACATCAATTGTGGCCATTAAGAATTTGAGGATAAGCTGTGCTAAAAAGGACTATGTTAAATTTGTATCTGCATTAGTATTCAAGGAACAGGATCAACTCGTAGAGTGTAGAGTTTAAATGCAATATTTCATGCCATATTATCAAAGATCTATGAGATTACTTGTTTGCTAGCATCATTTAATTCAAATAAGAAACATCACTAACACCATGCCCTACAAATACCAACTTCACGCCCTTTATGAGAACAGCGTTCAACGAGCAGTAATGACTTCCAGGAAAAAGAAGTAGTGCTTATATCGATATTCTTTATGCTTTTAATTTATGTACTTATTGTTCAGCTTCCTTTTTTAAAAGCGATAGAGTTTTAACAATTTATCAGCGAGAAAATGTTGACGACCTTGTGAACATTTTTTTATATTTTTAAGTATAAATTAAAAATATTGAGAAAATCTACATTGCTGGCCATTTCCACTCGCGTTACGCTGTTCTCTTTGTGCAGGTGTAGCGGGTGTTTTTGGGCGCGAACATAAGGCAGTCATTATTTAAAACCCATTAATCTAAAGAAATGTTTTTTTAAAAAGATTATTAATCGTTAGGTGAAAAATAGCTGGTTGCCTTGGTGAATAAAGATGACATCGCAGTCAAGCGGTTTCAAATCCCGGCTGCATCAGGCAAATATTTCGTGTGACATTCGTGTTTAGTTTCTGGGTCTGTCTTCTATTTTGTAAACAAAAATTAAGTATGAAAAATAACAAAAATTATTGTTTCTAAAATAATGCTATAGTGCTCAAGCACCGATCTTTTCTCTCAAGAAGATCTATCCATTTATGGAGTTTCAAGCTGAAGCTACGAATACTTACTCCCCGGACAAATGTAAAAAAAAGCTCTCAATGTGAACTTATTTATTACCAAAATAGAAATTTAATTTGTATTTTGATTTTGACATACACAATACACAATACTATATCATTGTACTTATTGCAAAAAGAAAAACAACAGAATCAAAATCATGGTTTATGTCATAAGTAACATTTTGGAAACTGTAACAGTATTAAAAACTAATCAAGTATTCGAGAAAATTAAGATAAATACATTTTTGGGACAAAATGGGCCTTAAGGTGGTAAAAATTTCACTGAGAAAATTTAAACTTTAAATGTTCCGTTGATTTAAAAAGTAAAATCACACTGTTGTTACATTACCCGTTGTAAGAGGTCCTGGGTTTGATTCCACCCCAGCAATTAGTAGAAGTATTCCTATAAAGGCAACAGACCCTACTATTTTCAAACCTCTGCTGTAATTCACGCAACATGAAAGCGTTTTTACATCAAATCCTTGTAAGGATCTGAAGGTCCCGATTCTACATCTATAAGTTTGTATATCAACACCCATGTTTCTGAAATAACGAAAGTTGTCTATGAAAAAGGTTGTCAAACTCAATTGATAAAACAGACAATGATGTAAACTAACGAAACGCATTGTGCTAAACGACAGTTGACAATTTGATGGCTTGCTACAACTTTTAGATAAAATGAAAACTGCAACAACAACATTGAAAATGTTGAGGACTCGTTTTGATTTACACATACTATATTGTCTACGTTCTTAAACAAAAATACATAGCATGTACTTATGTTTTGAAAGGATTTCTATTTAAGAATTTCAAAACATCTGCAGATGAGTTTATACGAAAGTCATCATAATTATTTTATTCATTATAGTTTCTCGAGTTTTTCTATGAAAAAATGCTAAGAAAACAAAATAAGTGTCCTTGGCGATACCAAATTGAGCAAAACTATATATAATGGAGAGCGAGGGGGTGGTCACAGGCTATTAAACATTCGTATCACAGGCAGCTGTAAAATGACAAGCGAGTTTTTACGCAAGCGTAAAGTGATTGCGAAGGAATGGTCATCATAATTGCTGTGCATAACACACCTTGAGATTGACCGAATTAAATGTTACATTGACGAACGTCTGTTAATATATGCAGTTGTTTGAAAAATGAATTTACGAGGAGTGTTCAAATATGAATGCATCAAAGCAGGTTAAATTTGATTCTTTATAAGTTTCACCGAATTTCTTTCCCTCAAATTATTCATCTTATTAAACAGATATACAAAGTTTTAGTCTCCAGATTCAATCTTTGAATAAAATTCATAGTCTGGTTTAGGTTTACTGTGAAAACACTTGAATTATTGCAGAACCGAGGTGTTTGCGCTGATCAAATGTTCAACCTGAAACGTATCTTTAAGCTTAGAAAACAAAAAGAAGTCACAAAGGGCAATATCATGTGGATATTCAGGATGGAGTGGTTTAATAAATAAAATTTCGCCCTGCAACCCCGCAACTAAGCCCGTTTTTGCTCCGCGCCCTGGCCGTTTTATTTCTTAAATCTCGCTCCGCGCTCACGCGGGGTGACGTTTATTTTATTAAATCGCTCCCGCTAATAAGTGTCCCCGCCAACTTAACTTGTTTATTTTTGACTTTTCGCCTGGCGGCGTCGCTGGGCTAAAAAACACGTTCATAAGAGGGGGTGCGGGGTGAAATTTTATTTATTTAACTTGATCCCGCGCTTCCATTAATAAGCATTTTTTCGCCCCCGCCCCCGCCATTTTACTTGTTCATTCTCGACTTTTCGCTTGGCGGGGTCGCGTGGCAAAAACAAGTATGGTACACATCAGCCACCATATTTTCGAAATGAACCAAGACATTTGAGTCCCGGAGAGTTAATCTTGTGTATTCGAATGTCCTTTTTACATTTTGTTATTGAAGACTGCAAAATAATTATACACTCCACAGTAAATCATGTGTCTTACTTAAAATCATATAAGTCTCGGATGATCTTCAAGCGAATGAAATAAGTATTTAAGTTTTTGTTTGAAAATACCCAAAGAAAAACATTAACGATTTGAAATACCACAATTAAAACAGGAATGTCGTGCTAAAAGGACATATGCATAAAGTATCATACAAAATGTAAAGCAAATGGATAGAACAAAACATCCCGTATATTTTGCTTAATTATATAACTAAACTATAACTAGAAATGTGTCCATAGGACACGGGTACCACCACACGCCTCTGTTCTATCAATCTTATGACTCTAGGTCACATATTTTTGGACTACATGTGCCACAAGTTGAAAACTAAAAATCTTTCACTAAGTGAAGGACAAGAACTTTACAAATACTGAATAAATCCACAAGCAAACCCCAAAATGCATAAGTACACATGCTGACCAACATTCTTGTAAACTTTCAGGCATACAAGTCAAATACTTTTGAGCTATGCATGAACATGTTGAAAATTGCAAATTTATACTACTGTAAGTCAAGGGCAAAAACTCTTAACAAAACTGAAAAAAAATCCTCACGCAAAGTCCCAGGTGCATAGCTTCACAGTGATGTTGATCATTATTCCTGTAATTTAGTGATGTTGATCATTATTCCTGTAAAGTTGGTTGATTCTAACTCTAGCACTCAAAGAACAAATAACACAACATAATGAAACGGTTTCTAGTCAAGGGAAATAACTCTACAAATACTGATCAAATCCACAAGCGAAACTCAAGGTGCACAACTACAACTGCTGAGCAACTTTCCCATAATGTTTAATGACTCTATGTCAAATCCTTTTTGTGTAACATGCGACACAAGTTGAAAATTGCAAAAAATTTCTAAGTCAAGGGCAATAACTCTAAAGATACTATATAAATCCAGACAAAAATACCCAGGTGCACAGCAACACATGTAGATCAACATTCCTGTAAAGTTTCATGACTGTATGTCAAATCCTTTTTTAGTTACATGCGACACAAGTTGAAAATTGCTAAATTTTACTAAGTCAAGGGCAATAACTCTACAAATATTGAATAAATCCACACGAAAATATCCAGGTGCACAATAACACATGCTTATTAACAATCTTGTAAAGTTTCATGACTCTAGGTCAAATCCTTTTTTGAGTTACATGCAACACAAGTTAAAAATTGTAAAATTTTACTAAGTCAAGGGCAATTACTCTGAAAATACTATATAAATCCACACGAAAATACACAGGTGCACAACTACACATGCTGATCAACATTCCTGTAAAGTTTCATGACTCTAGGTCAAATACTTTTTGAGTTAACTGTTACATTCGACACAAGTTGAAAATTGCAAATTTTTACTAAGTCAAGGGCAATAACTAAAAATACTAAATAAATCCAGACAAAAATATCCAGGTGCACAACTACACATGGTGATCATCATGCCTGTAAAGTTTCATGACTCTAGATCAAATACTTTTTAGTAACGTGCGACACAAGTTGAAAAATGTAAATTTTTACTACGTCAAGCGCACAAACTCTAAAAATACTAAATAAATCCACACAAAATTACCTAGGTGCACAACTGCACATGCTGATCAATATTCCTGTTAAGTTTCATGACTCTAGGTCAAATACATTTTGAGTTATGTGCGACACAAGTTAAAAATTGCAAAATTTTACTAAGTCAAAGGCAATAACTCTGAAAATACTATATAAATCCACACGAAAATACACAGGTGCACAACTAAACCATCGTCGGATACCCACGATTGATAAACATGTCACATAACATGCAATCAATAAATAAATAGATAAATGTTAATGGTTCGGCCGTAGGTATCCGACGATGAACTAAACATGCTGATCAACATTCCTGTAAAGTTTCATGACTCTAGGTCAAATACTTTTTGAGTTACGTGCGACTCAAAAGAGAACGGACGGACGGAAGGACAAGGATAAATCTAAATGCCCGCCACTAAAGTGGGGGCACAAAAATCAGTATGATCATAGTGCAATGACGCTACAAGGTTCAAAGTAAATGGGGTATTTTAGCCAGCTTATTTAACGAACTGTTCATTATCATTATTTGAAATCGTAGACGTCAACTAAACAAGCGCATAAAATTAACTGTTACGAGCATTTTTCTATTCAAATAGCTTTCCTTTATGCTATTCCTTCCCTTACATAAGAGTATGACTATACATAAAACTGTTTAAATATAAAACAACAACAAGTTGAACTACAAATTTTGTCTTTGAGGAAGCGTCTAGACAGTCAGCTGAAACAAAAAGAACGGACATGTATTATTTACATATTGTGGACCAACTTATATTTCAAAATGCATATTAAATAAAGAAATATCAACATAACACAATGAATTAATGGAAGTGTACATATTGTGTATAACATAATTCAAATTCACAACCCAAGATTTTAAGACACTGACAAACGCTCATGATCGCTGTCTTTAATGTACATATCCATAGCACCTTCACTAACCCATCGTCCGTGTCTCCTAAAAATCCTGTCTTTAATACCTTTATTTGCTGCAGCACTCGCTGCTCCTGAAAAAATATCTCGTAGATTATCTTCTGTATCCAGTTTTGTGGCACTTATATTACAGAAGATCTAGAGAAAATGATCATCCAGAATTTCTCCCCACAATATCAATTTATGACATTTACAACTGGGCATAGCCTTGTACCCGTTTATGCGATCAATAACCAAACCCAATCTCTGTATTTATCTGTCTTGCTACTTTCAATGAAACATACATAAAAGTAGAATTAAAAACTAAGTCTATGACACGAAGCTCAGAACTTCTTAAGAAACCTACGTATGCAACCAAAATAACGCAGATAATTCGTTGACTTTTTATATTATTCTCTACATACACTCTGTAATAAATACTATTAATATTTTTTACATTAATAGGTTCTTCCTTTTAACTGGCTTTGACAGAAGTCGTTAACTAGCTTCAAGAAGAACATTTAAAACCAATTTTGATTCTGTAGGAGAAATTAATCAATACATATCGTGAAACCACTTAATAGAATAAAAAGCTGAAAGGATTGGGCTTAACTTTGTCAGTTTAGCATTATAATATGACGCAAACCAATCAACATCTAATTGAGCGAAACGATCACTTATCATTTGTAATATATCAAACAAAATTCCACAGACATCAAAATGAGGCAACCTTGATAAAAAATCTGCGTTCTGGGGACCAACTCTACTTCTAAGGAAATAGCATTCTTCATGCAATACTGAAAAATTTCTTGCAGTTCTTGCCTAATAGAATCCTTTAAAACTATCGCCTTAATCCCTTGCTTGTCAACCACTTAACACGTTGATTTATAAGGAAATGTTTTAGAGCCAACAATACTCTGTAGACAGCAACCAATTCCCTCCAAGTGGACGATTCGGTGCGTTCTGTTTCTGATCAGACGCCATGGGATACTCCGTTTAATGTATTAACCTCATACCCAGCGTTAGCTGTGTCACTTGCATCAGAATACACTACTTTAGTACATATATGATATCTTTTTTGTCTATACAAGACAAGTAACCTTTCCAGAATA